TTTCAGTTTGCACTTTATGTTCTGTTTGATACAATTGCTCACTTTATACATCATTACTGTGTGTTGTTTTCTTTAATTGTTTTAAATAATAAAGAATACCTCAAACATTTAAATACAAATAAATATAAAGTTGTTATTAAAAGGACAACACTGAAGTTGGTTTATATATTCAACCTTTATTTCTCATATAATTGAATACCGTGATAATACCGTATACCATGATAAAACCTTAATCAATTAATCGCAGCATGGAAATCTGATACCGTCACATGCTTAGCGCTAATAAAGTAAATAGTGTTAATTTTGATTTAATGCTGACTTTAACAAAGACTGTTCCAGATTGAGTCAGCAAGACAGTTTGTTGACGTTTGTTCACTTCATTTTACGGCAAATTAGTTTTTAAACAAGACACAGTTAGATGCAAGCTTTTTAGAAAGACAGCAGACAAAAGAGGATGCATTGTCATATATTGAATTCGCAACAAACAAGTGTGAGTAGCAACATTACTATTTGTCTGTTTACAGATCATTTGATTGTAATGAGTATTCATACGTTTTTAACCAAAATGTCCCATACTGTTTTCAGAGTACATATCACAGCAGCATCCATCTATTATTTTAATATGCAAAACCGTTACCCAATCATAGCATTAGGTGTTTACATCCAAGTCTTGAATGCGGCATGCCTATGAAAACAGTATGTTTCAGAGAGAGGATCAAAAACAGGATAGAAAATAACCTATTATCCGTTATAAAACACTCATTGTAAATAATTTTGACAATTACGTGAATATACTGAACTGTGTTCAAGCTAGGGCTGTGCAATTAATCGTATGTGATTGTCATGCGCATCTCGTCAGTAAAGCTGGTTCCGTGATTAGTAGTAAATCTCCATCACCTCATAATTGAATGCGATTCATCTGCGATTATGAACGCAATATTGCCTAGCTTGTCAGTGAACTACGGCTCGGTGTATTAAATGCCGCTCCATCTGAAAGCAGGTGATGGCGATTTACTACCAATCACGGAACCGGCTTTACTGACGAGATGCGCTTGACAATCGCATGCGATTAATTGCACAGCCCTAGTTCAAGCACAGATATGATGTTATAGTGATCAGTGCGACGAGAGTGCAAATACAAGGTTTGTTTGTGCATCAATAATAACGGACACATGAGTTTTTTTGGTCACACTTTAGTTTGGGGACCAACTCTCACCATTAACTAACTATAAACTAGGACTTTTGCCTCAAACTCCTAATTCCTAATTAAGGAATCAAAAATATGGCCGTGCAGAATAAGCCATTAATATGTGCTTTGTAAGTACTAATAAACCACTAATATGCATTCTAATAAGCAACTAGTTAATAGTGAGAATTGATCCCTAAACTAAAGTGTTACCATGTTTTTTTATGATGTTTCATATTGCAAAGGTGGTGTAAAAATTGACCCAATTATGCGCACCTAATTTACAGATGTGTGAACTGCCTTCCAATTTAAAATGTATGAAATCAGGGGTTCTCAATAATTTTTACTCCAAGGCACACCTTCTCTCAGAATGAATACTGCAAGGCCCCCCCAAACCTTTCTAGTCACAAAAACCTTTGTATTCTCATGTTATTACTTTTCAATTCCATGAAACTGTTTTTAAACAAAAATTCAACTGTTTGTGTTTAACATTTAGTGATCTTTTTTGCAAACACACTTTGCAAAAATGTCACTGCAGATATTCTTTACAACTTAAAAGTATGTAAAGCTCAAACTTTAAAGGGGTCATATGATGCAATTTAAATGTTTCCTTTCTCTTTGGAGTGTTACAAGTTCTTGGTGCATAAAGAAGATCTGTAAAGTTGCAAAGACTAAAGTCTCAAATCCAAAGAGATATTCTTTATAAAAGTTAAGAGTCAACGACGCCTACCTAAAACGGCTCATTCTAACACTCCCCCACATGTCTACGTCACGATGTGGGAAGATTTGCATAACGCCGGCCAAATGTACACGCAAAAGAAAGAAGGCATAACTTTTATTCTCGCTGTAGTATTGTTGCTGCTGCCACGTCGTGAAGGCACTGTGTGTTTCGCTGTGAAAACGAAACTACTTTGTTTGGCCTTCCAAAAGAGGACGATATCCGCTTTGTCATGCCTAGAGCTGATCCGTGCTGCTCGCTGAGGAAATACATCAACTTCGTGCTGTGGAACGCCGGATTGGCTTTCACCGTGAACGAAGCGGAGTCCAGCCCGGGGTCGTCACATGTGGTTGCCACAAGCCCGCCGTCCGCTCTTTCGTCGAATCTGCCGGCTGTGCCGTTCTCAAGCCCGCCCGTTCCTCACTCTAGCCCGCCAGCCGTTCCTCACTCTAGCCCGTCGTGTGTGATGCTGCGTGTTTCGTTGTGAAAGCAAAACTACATTGTTTGGCCTTCCAAAAGAGGACACAACTAGACATCAGTGGTTAAGTTGTATTTACAACACTGTTCCAGAACAGTTCAACCCAAATATTCAGATGTGTGCAGCGCATTTTATGGAGGACTGTTTCCTGATCCTGGGAGAGTAGACTACAATGCCGGCTGTTCTGACTCACAGACTGTAAGTACGTTTTCATATTTAAAGGATTTGCCACTGATGATTCAAACACGAGTTTTGAGCAGTGTAGAGTGGTGCTTGTTGTTTGTCATTTCTCCGATCACAAATGCAGACATGGTTTTAGGATTACGCAGCGCGATGCAACAAATTTGATGTCCCCACTGGATGCAACAAATTTCATTTTCATTTATTTACTTATAAATAAATACAAATACAAATAAACACAACAAGAGTTGACCACTGTGCTGTACAAAAGAGGAAAGGTAAAACAAAAAGAATAATACTAAATATAATACACTAAATCATAAGTTAAAATGAGGCCAAGAATTATAATGGATTAAGTGCAAGAATAAAAAGATGAGATTGTAGCTTAGATTTAAAATCATATACAGAAGATGCGGATCTCACAGATAAGGGAAGACTGTTCCATAACCTAGGACTGGCCACTGCAAATGCACGGTCACCTTTCAACTTCAATCTTGATCTTGGATATGACAGAGTAATACTGTCAGAACAAATGCCTCATTTATAATGGGTTTTAATGTTTTTGTCTCGTTGCTCCGGCCGGGACACGGCATCACAGTATGGTAAGGGGCGTAACATTTCCGTCACACGCTTGAGGTATTCGGCCAATCACAGTGCACTGGATAGCTGGCCAATCACAGCACACCTCGCTTTTCAGACCGATGAGCTTTGTAAAAATCGATGCGTTTCAGAAAGGCGGGGCACAGAGGAGAAACAATAATGTACAGTATGTGGAAAATAATGTGTTTTTTAACCTTAAACCACATATACACATTTCATTACACCAAATACACAAAATAATGTTCTTTTTAGCAACATCATATGACCCCTTTAACAAATAAGTACAAGTCAACCTGCCATACCAAACAAAGCCACAAGGAGATGTCAAAGGACTGCATATAAACTACTATACGGATCCATTCAGAATCACTAAACAAACCAAAATACAAATTAAAAATGAAATCATTCTGAATGTGTAGAAACTCAGCAATCTGAAGGCGGTCGTAGTCATCAATGAACAAGCTCTGTCAGAACAAGCGTCATGTCTGTGTTAGTAGCGTCTGATGCCCATATGTACATAAACACCACTGATCCTCACAAACTTCTCCAAAACACGCTTCTTCGGTGAGCATCCGTTATAAAACCCTCGTTGTAAATAATTTTGACAATTACATGAATATACTGAATTGTGTTCAAGTACAAATATGATGTTATAGTGATCAGTGCGACGAGAGCGCAAATACAAGGTTTGTATGTGCATCAATAATAACGGACACACGAGTGCTTAATGTACAACTCCTGTGTGTCACTATAATTGTCTTTAACTCCATCTAAACTTAGCGTGACACAGACTTGCTGTATCCAGCCAAGAGCTGTAATTTGCGTATCATGCAGCAGTCTGGCTCATGTAGCAGTCAGTTTTGAGGCACCGTTCAGTGTATTTCACACAGCGTGACGAGAAACAGCTTGAGGTGCTCCAAAACACAGAATATTAGAATACGTACAAGAGAGGTGGTGCTGTAGCTTTTTTTTTTTTACATTTAAAAAAAACAATTATTTATCATATTAATCATAAAATTTGTAAATTGAATATATTTTAATTTGTTACCCCTATGGAAACATGGAAAACAGCCCTACAGTCCCTAAAATGTTTTTTTCCCTCCGCATGCCCAGTTTGTCCTCACAATGAAATCTGTAGGTGGGTAAAGTAAATTAATTCAAAGGATATGTTCGGAGCACAATCAACTAGGCAATGCATTTTATATTACTTTCAATTCTTTGTGGGCTCATTAGATAAAATAGCAGTCAGTGGTATTTAACTTATCTTGTCTTTCTTTGTGATCATCACTCTTCTATACAGATTCTCTTGAAATCCATTATTTTAAAGATAGAATACTTATTTTAAACACGGAAAATAAATCCTCTCTCTTCATTTTAAAATGTGTATTACTCCACTTGTTTTCATACCAGATAGCCTTTTATAGCTTCTCAAACAGAAAATGTAATTCACATTTACAAGTTCTTTTCTTTTTTCTTAGGACATAAAAACTTGTTTTCAGACATAACATTAGTTATATCATAAAAAAATACTTGTCCTAATAGTATAAAATCCCTATAGAGTTGACAAAAAACTATAGCCAAACGACTGACACCAAGGTAAAGCTCACCAAATATTGAAAATATCCTAGGATATATCCACAGAGGTAAGTGAAGGTAGTATATCCAGACTGAAGGAGAACCCTTTGGGTTAAGAGGCAAAAGAGTGGATCAACATCAAGCGAAAGGAGGGATATTTTTCCATCTAGCTACAGTGCAGTGGTAGATTAAAGGGATTGGGAATATCCATGGAGAGGGTGGCAATAAATGCGGAGCAAGAGGCAGAGGGTTGCCCTGGGTACCTGGTGAGTTGTTTGAAACAGAACACACAGAAGCGATGTCCACACTGTGCTTGGAAAGGTTTCCTAAGAATCTCTTTGCACTGCTGACATTGATATTTTGGTTCCATGGACACAGACAGCACTTCTCGAGATATCCCAGGTAATGTGGAGTCCAATGAAGAAGGTAAAGATGGACGTGCCATTGCCTTCCATTTACCCACAGTGCCAGCAGTGCTGATCATCTGTAAAAATAAATAAATAAAAAGCACAAATTAGCAGAATAATTGCAGTTTTAACACATTTGTTTGAAATCAACATGAAATTGCATATACAATTAATTTATCTTCCATTAAATGACATATTTATGAGTGAAAGAGTATATTCAACCACATAAAGAATTGTAGGGTTGGACTTGGAAATGGAGTCACACCAGAATGTGAAACCGATGTAAATTTTTTACTTCATTATGAAAATACTATAATATAATAAGTCTGCATTATTGTGTGCATAGTGTAACAGCTGGACAAATCAGACACATTATTATATTATATTTAACAAATAGCCCAAAAGACCCCTCACCAAACAACTGTAACTGATGCCGGGATGTCTGTGGACTACCCCCAGGCCACTAGGGCTGGGTATCATTCAAAAATTTTCGATATCGATACCTTGACTTCGATACCGGTTCCTGAACAATACTTTTTTCAATACCAATTTTATGAAATCAATTTTAACAAGATTACATTATCTAAAAAAAAAACTTTGGTTTTTATTTTTCAGCTTGTTGATGTTTATACAAACTCAAAGACTCATCTCCTGAGCCACTGCACAAAGGAACTAAATGTAACCAACACAATAAATCAGTGCAAAATAGTTTTAATAAAGCTCAAATAGTCTTCAGTTTACACATCTGTTAGGCTACATTTACACTAGTTCGTGTTCGTTTTAAACCGCATAGCGCAGACAGAATCATGATTTTTATTTATTTTCCACTGATTTACTGATGAGCATTAGCAGCTTCCAGCACTGTCTGCTTGTGTTCTCTCTTCCATGATCGCTGCTCTGACTCAGAGGTAATAACATATTTCATTTCAGCAACATTACATGGCCAAAACACACATTAGACGGCAATCGGAAGTTATTACAAACACTTGATGGTGGTTTAAAGTGAGTTTTGAATAAAAGCGGAATATAAATCTTATTTATTGTCTTATGTAGCATGATGCTAGTTTGCATGAATGGTAACATAACACGCGCTTTCGGTCGTGTAACTTTAGTATGAACGGACATCTGCATATGATCGGTACTCCACGCAGCTCCTGCGCTACTCTCCATTGGAAGTGAATGACCGGTCTGTCGCTTGACGTTTGTCGGATATAGTGGAAATCAGTGATTGGGAAAACATTTTTAAAATGCACATACTACAAAGAAGAGCAATAAGACGGCATTAGCTTTAATTTTTGAATGGCAAAGACGTGCTCACCCACAGACATTCACAGGTTCATTTTGAGGTATTAGCAAAACAACAAAGCTAATGCTTTTCACGGAACTTACGTAATTACCCATTATACATTGTGATATAGCCTGGTTCGTTGGTCTGTTGGATCGGATTGCTTTCTCACTACAACCGAATCGCTCCAGAGTTCGTTTTCAATCGAGCCGAGACCACCTCGTTCAGGCGATCTCGGACCGATTGTTTTGGCGCGGATCCGAGTGCGATTGCCGTGTTCACATATGCCCAAACGAACCCCCCCCTAAGGGGGGAAACGCGCCAGGTTCCGAAACAACAGGCAATGTGTGAAAACATCCTAAAACATAAACGCACCAGTTTAAATGTAGCCTTACATCTATGGGGGCTCGGACTCATTCACACTACAGCCTCACGTGTGTGCCACATCTCTGAGTGTAACCGGTGTAAACTAGTAGGTGTGTTCGACTTGACGTGGACCGACTGTGCAGACCGATCGGTGTATTACAGTACCATGAGTGCTAAAGAGAGCAGACTGTTCCGTGCGCTTTCGAATCGCTCTCGCGGATGATCGATCTGCGCCGCACCTCTTCTAGTCGAACACACCGGCTAGTGCTGCAGGCCTATTGGCTCACTGACGCCGATGAGATTAACCCCTTAGGTATTGAAATTTGGTACTGAACGAAAAAACGTTTTTCGATACTCGAAGGTATCGAGGCAATTCGGTCGGTGCCTAAAAAGTATCGAACTCGATACCCAGCCCTACAGGCCACTGGTTACCATAGCAGCAAGGAAACATTAAAAGATAAGATTTGCAGCTCAAAGGAATTTAGGGAGAGTTAACTCTCGCTTAATTCCCCATAAATGGCTCACTGAACCCCTGGAGGTGTGACCTCCACAGAAGTTAATGGCAAATCAGAGTGACCTCACTCTCTTCTTCTCTCTGGTTGCTCTTGGACCCTTTCTTTTGGTTGCTGTGTGGAGGAGACTGGAGACATCCAGTCCAACCGCGATGCTGCGGGACCTCCTCCACACCAGAAGGACGCCAAAGTTGCAACTCTCCACCTGGGAGAGAACTCTCCCGACCACCACCAAATCAGAATGATCTTTTTCAGAATAATTCAGAATTAATTTTAGGAGTAACAATTATGAACAAAACAGCATCATGTATTTATGCATTGCTTAATCCAAAGAGCCAAAGCACCATTCACACAGACTGCATTTAAAAACATATGAGACGCAGTGAGAAGGAATAAACCTCCACAAATTCGTGACATGTTTTCTAAAAGTTTAAACTGTTTTAACTTTGCATGGCTTTCTATACATCTCTTCTCTGAGACGCGAGTGCAGCAGTCATATTTGTCCATCTAAAAAATGCGCTGAATATGCGTTCTGTGTGAATGGCTTGGTTTCGTTTTTAACCCATTCTATATTTCTCTAATATTTTGAATGAATAAAGCCGCAGCGGCGCGTCTCGTGGGCTAGACTAACAAAACATTAAAATGCAAATATTTATTTTAAATTCGACTAATATTCATTCTTTATTCACAATCTCCTCATCACAGGCAGGCACAGCACTCATTTCAGCATGTGTTCGTGTTTGTGTGTGCTGTCTGCGTCACTCATAGCACATGCCTATATCGTGCACTGTATCGAATATTTTTTCTATCGATATCGAAGAAGGTGTACCGTCGATAAATATCGATACTGTTTTATCGCCCAGGCCTATTTGAATATGTATGACCCATCATGAAATGGAGAATCAGACAACAATGACTATGGACTGCTGAGCAGGTGAAGCCTTGTATCAAGTGAGACTAGGCAAAAAAATTTGCTTGCAAAACTTTAAAAATAGTATCCTTAATTCCCAGATTATTAAAATATGTAATTAAAAGCAAAGGTGACACAATGGTAACATGCCTCTGTCCCAACTTTTTTGGAGTGTGTTGTAGCACCAAAATCTTTGTTTTTCTTTGTACTTTAGTCAAATAAATAAAGGTAAAAGAGAATGAACAAATAACATTCTTGATTTTATGGCATTTCACAAAAAAACCCAACTTTTCTGGAATTGCGGTTGCACTATAATTTACTAATGTTTTACAATATTCTAAACCAAAATGTGGCGCAAAACCTTCAAGTATATACTGTACGTCAGCACACGATTTTTTATAAAAAACTCAATATAGTTTGGTCTGAAACAAATAACTGAAATAAGTATGATTTTTATATTCTGGACATTGAGAACTTTTCAACCATATATGATAGGGTTTGGCGATGTCTGTAACGGTTGCCTGTTACATTACAGTAAATAAAATTTTACTTACCACACAAAAAGAAAGGACAGATGACTGAGGACGATGGCGAATGATTTGCAGATCCTCAGTACCACTGACAAACATCTAATCTTGTAAAATATGTGGTAAGTACTGCCACTCCATAGTATAAACAGACTACATGCGATCGCAAATCTCGAAAGTGAAACTAAAAAGCGATTGTGCATTCAAAAGCAGTTTCGATTAAAGCTGCAGTCCGTAAGTTTTGCCTCTTTGTCGTCATCTCTGTTTGAAATCTGCAATTGCAGTTACTTGCGGAATTATCTTCCTTGCGTGGGTTGTGATCCGTCACGGCTACAGCGCAGATTAATCTAATGTTTTGAAGTGAATGTGTGGCTGTCAGTCACCGCACCGGTGTGGATACTGTACTTAGGAATCACCGATTCTCGCCTACTTCTTGGAATATAACCCAAATAAGACTTTTTACCGGATATTGTCATCAGAACACCTAAGTAACAAGTCTGCCATGTTTGTTCTGACCAACTGAGGACAATGGCAATTAAATCTAACGATCGATTAGCTCGCATCACATCAAACCGTGCAAATTATTATTATTGTTATACTTTGTTCTCAAATTGTTAAATATTAACAACATCAGCATTGCGTGACTATGTGTATATAGTGTGTATTAGCGTGTAGATTTCAATTTCTGTACAGTCTAATCTCTAATTGTCATACCATTCGAATTGAAATTCTTTTAACCCAAAAAACAAATTATTCTTCCTTCGAACTGGTTCTCTTTAAAATACAAATCCTGTGTAATCCAGGGCTATCTGTAATCAGATGCACACAAACTGGAATAATTTAATTTCAGTCACATATTTGTTTCATAAACACGTGATCCTTAATGGATTACAATCCACCATCAAAATTATAAATTTAATTATTCCAGCTGCTGTGAAAAAAGGCTATAAACGATCCACCACCTGCAGGATCCTCATATGCAATAGCCTACTAGCTGGGACTCAATCTTTATGTTTACAGACGTGACGTAATGATGCAGCAGCATGCTTGAATTTCCCGCGAAGACCTACCCATACCACTTAAATTATAAAACATTATTATAAGCTTACCGACCGTTGTGAATCGGGCTAAAGTAAGGCGATAGTCTTGAGCACTGGCTGGTTATGCACTTGCTCAAATATTGATTTCGGATAATTTTTAACCAAAAAAAAGTTACAGACTGCAGCTTTAAACTGAAGTTATTAAAATATGTATTTTCCTCCCATCTCGTATTTATTACCACGATCAACTCTTAACAACTCTTCGCCACTACCCCGCTTGGCCACTCAAGTGTAATATGGTTAAATTGGTACTTGTATGTCCTTTTCGGAGCTTGTCAGCCACAAGTTACTACCTCCGTGAAGTTGGCCCCCCACCCAACGCAAACCGTCGGCAAAATAGTCTCAATCGTTTGTACTGGTTTGTGCTGTAAAAATTTCGTTTGTGCTGCTTTGGTTTATTATTATTATTAAAATAATATTTATAGGTCATTCTGAGGTCACTCAG